CAGACCTTGGTTCAGATCTTACTTTGGAAAAAGATGTGAGTGCAGTGGGGGGTTGATTAGTTTACAGGTCATTTTTGAATCCTGAGTGACAAGTCGATAGCTTTCAGTCACTCACATGGACCCCCCACAGACATGCAAAAGTTTAGTTTATCTCGCAAGCATTTAGTCTTCATTAAAAGACAGAGAAAAGAACATAGACTTGATTACTGAGCAGATGTGATGAACCCTAGTCCTGCCATTTACAGGCTGGGTGACACAGGGCAAGGTATTGGATCTCACTAAGATGATGACAATTATAATACCTGCCCCTCCTTGGATTATTGTAAAAATCAGATGACATAATATTCATGTAATAGATGTTTGAATAAATGCAATACTTATTCTTTTCTCTTTCCTTTTGATTACTCCCATGACAATCCAAATCTGAGTGAGGCTAAACCCTTACTTAAAATAAAGCTCATACTTCTAGAGCTTCTTTTTTTAAAAAAAACTACTTCATTAAAAATGGTGGAAGGGAGCAATCGTAATGTGTCTTGTCTCCCAGGGCACCAGGGTCATGACTTTCATAAATACTTAATTATATAAGTACACAAAGATGTGTACTAACCAGGCACACACACTGTCACCTATAGATGGTGCTTGCTAGGAACCAAGTTTTGTGCTGAGTATTTTAAAAACATTTATTTAATGTTACCTTTTTTTCCTAATTTTCAAACATTTATTGAATGTTACCTCTTCTTTTTTTTTTCCTTCTATCAGCAGCCACATAAAAACAAGGATTTGTCACACAAGGGAACCTTTAGATAATCTTTTTGCTGAGTTCAGTTGGTTCTTATCTGTGTTTAGACTGTCTCTGTTTTCTCTATCCTTTATAAAGAAAATCAGAGTTAAGTGGGGGCTTAAATTGGGAGAAATGCACACAAACTTTGAAATGTTTCTTTCTTCTTCCCATCAATTCCTATTGGAGTTACTATAATGAGTGGAATGGGATAATTAAGAAAGAATTTGGCAAAGCAAAGAAAGCTAGGCAAATGAATGAATGAAGATGGATTCATTTCGTCTTCTATCCAATGGATTCATCCCATCTCACGGAGTAAGGTGTTGGGCTCTGGAATCAGGTAATGGGAGAAGATTTTTTTTTCCTTCTTGGAGACATTCAGAATTTGATGAACCATCCACTCCTTATTTAGATGTAGAGAGGCAGGAACATGGAGGCTGAAACAAATGGTCTCAGGTATTCTCTCTCATTTTCTGAATCAGACACTTTCTGATCATTTTCATGAGATTATTTTCAAAGGAATTATTCCGTTGCAAGCTCAGGTTACTATTGCATTTTCACTGTTCTAGTAAGGCCCAAAATGGTAAGAGTATTTAGGCCACCTCCTTCAGGTAGGAAGGATAGATTTCAAGAGGCCTAGGGAGCAAAAATATCCACCCCTTATTCAAACAGTACGTTTGTCAGACTCCTTTATATTCTTGTATTTCCTTGTAAAATTGCTGCTTTTTCTACTGCCCTGTAGGTAGCCAAAAAGTGCCATTTCACTTGTGTCTCTTTATCAGACCAGTTAGCTAGCTCCAGTCCCACAAAGCCAGCATTTTTAGAGTCAGAAGTTCCAATTTCATCTACAATAGGGTACAAACATAGAAGATTGGAAGCTCTGTCCATCACCTCTGCCAGCTAGCTTCCCTGATCATCCCTCTGTGAGTGAAGAACCCAGAATGGGCTTTTCCTGGTGCGATCAAACTTGGGTTTCAGGCTTCCATGTGACAGATCTAGGAACCCATAGATCCTCAGTGCACTGATTTCATCTATGAAGATGCCTTTCAAGAGAATGCAGAGCCCGCATCCCCAGACATCAACAAAATGGAACACAAGTTCGTCCAGTTCCACTTCTTTGGAAGGGACCCCTATTCTCAACCTGATCAAATCAAGTAGGAAACTTTCATTTCTTTGTATCATAAACCAGATTATTGAAATATACCAGATGTACTATTGTGTGCTCTATGAAGAAGATGGCCTTACCTTGAAAATAGCAAGGTAGCAACAGATAATGCAGCCAATGCGACCGTATGCTCGGGGTCAAACTCTTCAGATTCCCTACTTATAATCTGAGAAGTCCTAGTTGAGTTACTCAGTAATTCTAATTCTCAATTTCATTATCTGCAAAATGGGGATTTGATAAGTAGGATCTCCCTCAAAGTGTTGTCATAATTAAATGAGACCATCCACATAAAGCATGTAGCATAGCACCTACTTTGCACTAGTGTTATTTACTATCATTCAAATATGTTACACTAGATTTGGGGCATTTCCTGAATCAACCAAGACCCTACAGATTGAAAAATAACCACGTTCTAATGTAAGCTCTCAAAGGAAGCACTTGTAACTTATTTCAAGTGCCATGCCCTTTTAGTTGGTGTGAATTCCATTTATAGTTGGCTCAGGGGCTGCCTTCGGACATTCGCTCACAGTGAGACATTGGCAGAGTGGCAAGTCTGCAGGCAAAGTAAGTCTTCCCACTTGTCTCCACCCAGCCTGACATCTTAGTCTGGACAAATGAGGAGGAGGTAACATTTTAAAGTCACCCATAAGACACATTCAGGAAAGGAGTCAGAGGCTCTGGCATGGGATCTAAGAAAAGAACCTTTTCACAGTGAGAATGGGCCAATCATGGAAGGAACCTTTTGCGAAGGGGTGAGCTCGCAGGCACTGAGAGTTCAAGTTGAGGGTGTTCAAAACCCTAGAATGGCCCGCCCCAGCTCAGAGAAAAGAACCCCACTTCCTCCAGCAGCAGAAAAGGTCACCCGGTGTTAATCAGTAGGCATTTTGAGTAGATATCAGAGTGGTTATGGAAAGGATTCCTGAGAGCAGTGGTCCATTACAACTTCAAGATGCTGTGATGATGAGAGTAATGATGAATTGATGATGGTGATGAGGGTGAAGAAGAGGAAAAGACAGATAAAGTAAACTAAAAATTATTAGTCTTAAAAATCTCAGTATCATATAACCAAGTTGTGTTTGAAACTAATCAGTCAGCCACCAAGGATAATGTGATCCTGTGCAATTGGTTGTTAGAAGGAACTCAGACATTTAGCTTTCTTTGAATTGACTGCTTTGTGGCTAACTCATTTGTTTTCAGGCCAGTATGTGTGGGGCTCCATGCTTGGGCCCTTTCCTTAGGCAGCACTCTTTGTATAATAACTATTAGTAGCATGGATCCTGTGCTTTTATCAGGAGTGAGGATGGCTTATAGTGATTCTTCAGAGGCATGTTCCTAGTTCCCCTCCTGATACCAAGCAGGTTGCCAGAAAGTGGACAGAGGCCTTCGTCCTGGAGAGTAGAGAAAGCACTGCCCTGCCACAGCCACGAATGTGCAGTCTCTGAGCAGTGCTGTGCTTCTACCATACTTCTTACCAGCTAGGGGCCACTGCCCTTCCCCAAATCTTAGCCATGACAACAAGCAGTAGGTTCCGTCTAAAACTCAGACCACACCAAGCAGTAAGCAAGACAATAAAAATCCTGTAACTATTGATTGTGACTACCATACCAACAAGAAGTTGGACTAATGTTATTATTTCATTGGTCCTCATTAACCTGACCACAGCTTTCTCCTGGTGTTTGAGGACATAGAGCCTGAGATGTTATGAGAGCTCTGTTCACCGGCTTCCTTTTATCAAGTAACTCTGAAATTCAAATCAGGGATTACAAAGTTCCAAAGCCAGACTTAAGTTTTCTGTTTCCCCCAGCTAAAAATGATCTGTATGCTGTGTGATCTATGGCAGTCCTTAGACCTCTCTGACATTAAGGTAAAAGTAGCAGCTTACTTTAGGCTAATTTTAAGGTCTTTTTTCAGTTTAAAAAATCCTTTCTTCCTTCTGGATGAATTGGATTATTCCTCAGTTTAGTGACTCCAAGATGATTCGAGAAACTAGGCAGGACGAAGGCAAGTATACATTCAGTGCAGACCTTCCAGAAGCTTTTAAGGCTGGACAATGAAATTACTGAGTACTCTGGATAATCAAAATAAAATTACCGCCAATCCCCAGGGCCTCCTCCAGCAGACAAAAGAAGGGCATTAAGCTTATTGGTCCATAAGTCTTGGTTTCTCTTGTGCGGAAGGGCTGCCCTTGCTGGAGATCTTTCAGGCTACTTTCTATTTCTAAGGGTTTTTTTTTTCTAAGGTTTTAAGATTCTATGAACTTATTTTTCAATAGTTTTACCAAAAATGGAGGCACAAAGACTCTCTCTGGTAAACATTTTCCTGTGCCCCAAACCTAACAAGAAATAGAACAAGATCCTTAAATGACTTAAGTTTACTCATGAAGATCGATGTGAATTTGATTTGCTACATAGATGGATGTGTGCTCTTCTGTTTTGCTAAAATGATGCTAGTTCAGTGGGAGGAGAAGAGTGGGATAAGCTCATGCAAAGCCCTCTCCCCGCCCCTCCTCCTGTGAAGGGAGTTTTAGTTACTCCTGGGCTCTCACGGAAAGGTTGGCGGGAGGGATGGAGACAATACTCTGTGAAGAGTTACTTAAGATATGGATTCCTTTTAATTAAAAATAAATTATACACACACACACACACACACACACACACACACACACACTTGATGCCAAAACAATGTATACACATTTGAAGAAAGAAAAAAATTGTATTAATTATAGTACTCAATATATACCTATAGCAAAAGATGAATACAAGTCACATTTGACTTCTGCAATTACAAGAGGTGCTCAAAGTGGTTCCCATCAGCATCCAGACACTTCTGATTATGGCGAACCACTGCTTGAGTATAGATAACATCTCTTAAAATGTGTATACAGTTTTTTTGACAACCCCCCTGTGTGTGTGTGTGTGTGTGTATTATATATATATATATATTCTTTGTCTCTTCTTGCTATTTTCTCCAAACCTCAACCATGGGTAAAACTTAATTCTTCTAAACACCTAACTCTGCTGCACAGTAATTTATTCTCCTTCTTCTTTTTAATTACAGTATTCTCAAATGAGGGATGAAGTATTCAAGTCAAACTTGGTGTGTGCGTTTATCGTTCTCCTGTTTATCACAGCGATACAAAGTTTGCTTCCTTCCTCAAGGTAAATACGAGAGGACAAAGTTATCAGGTGAAATCTCTTTGTGAGTTGATGGTCCCTCACCTGGAGCCAGCCAGCTGACCTTTTCAAAATAAAGTTAGATCAGATTTAAAATAACATGATCCAGTATCCATACTAAAAGGTCTGACAATATCAGTGCCTATGCTGGTGGCCTGACTCTACGTAATAATCTCATTTTTCTGCCAAGTCAAGAGTATTTGCCCTAGTCTTAATAAGCACAATAGCTAAAATCAAAACAGGCCTCCCTCTTGTGTGACGTTGTCCCCATGAATGCAGAACATAAGTACGTGTGAAAGCCTCAGTCACCATTTACCGTTCTTTGGTAATTACCGCTTTGTTGTTCAGAGATACAGCATCATAGCTTCCAGGGTCAGCCAAATTGGCACTGTAATAACACTGTACACACCTGTATGTGGCTAGTCACTGTTCCAAACACTCTACACACAGTAACTCATGAAATCCTTCATGGCAACCCAATGAGGTAGGTACTGTTATTCTCCCCATTTTAAAGAGAAGAAAACTGAGGCTCAGATTAAGGAAAGAAGTTACACAGGTCTCAATGTTGAAAAATGTTACAGCCTGGATTCCAGCCCAGGAAGTATCATTCCAGAGTCTGGGTGCTTAACTCTCTATTAGACACAGACTTGTGTCGTACAGGTTATAGGTGCCAGAGCCACATTTGAATCTAGCTCTGAATTAGCCCAGTGGCCATGCTGTTTGCTGTCTCCTGTACAGTAAGGTAGCTCCTGCTTCTTTTTTTTTTAAAAGATTTTTATTGGGGAATTGGGGGGATGGGAACAGTGCTAGGAAATTGGGGAAAGGGGAACAGGCAAGTTGCTGTCGTTTTGTTCTTCAATCTAGTTGTGGAGGATGTTGCTTCACTGGCCCAAGTTGGCACCATCATTGCGCTCTTCTCTGGCGAGGCAGATCAGTCACCGGCTTCTGGACGGCCGCTCACTGCAGCTGCTGGCCGCTCACGCTGGCTGCTGGCCACACACGGTAGCCCATGGCAATCCACTGCCACAGGGACTGCAGCCCACGCCGTCGCCGGCAACTCATGGCAGCCCAGCTCCAGGTTGAGCTGTTGTTCAGCATCTTAGCTGTGGAGGGCAGTGTCACTGGCCCTCATATGTGGGATCCGAACCGGGGCCCTCTGGCATCCCAAGCGAGTTCTTAACCATCGCGCCACTCGGCCGGCCCGCTCCTGCTTCTTTTCTCAGGTCATTCCCTTCTCCCTACACTTACCATGAATTTTCCCCTTTCCTGTGATTAAAAATAACATCAACAAATAATTTTTTAAGCGCCTAATATAGGCAAAGCAACATGCCAGGCCCTGAGATGGTGCACTTTTGGAGGAGGAGGTCCACATTGTCTAAGACATAATTTAGTGGGAGAGAGAGAAATTAATAATGGTTCCCAGTTCCTGAGCACTTACTACATGCCAGGAAAGTGCTAAATCCTTTACACGGGTTGTCTCAATAAGTGAGGCAGCATTCTCATTCCCATGTTGTAGATGAGGATTTGTCTAAGGTCTCATGTCTATATAGTGGCTGAGCTGAGAATTGAACCCAGAGACAGAGTCTGTGCTTTTAACTATTTAGCTGCTTTGTACCAAAATCTGTGATTCATCCTGACAGGGACCATGGTTTAAGAAAAATAGTGCAGAAAGGTGAAATTTTGAGCTGAGTAGGAGAGGGAGAAAGCATGGAAGAGTACTCCCAGTTTAGAAAACAGCACCAGCGAAGGCACAGAAATGTGAAAGATCTTGTCTGTAGGATCGTGAGTACATGGGAGTGTTTAGAAGAAAGAATTTGTACAAGGAGATGGCGGGCACCATGGCTGAGAAAGGAGTGAGCTAGCAGACGTTCAATGTCCACCACCAAAGGATTTAGAATTGATCCTGGGGGCAGGAAGGAGGCCCTAAAATTTTTTGAGGAAGGTAGTAACATGATTCTGTAAATAAAAGATGTTTAAATTAACTAACACTCTAAATTAACTAACACTCAGGCAACGGCAATGGCTGACCTTTTCTAGGTTAGCAGGGTTATTAGAAGAAGGATTCTGGGAAGATGGTGGCAGAGGTGGCATGTCAGACTTCCCACATATCTGACAAACTATATAGATAGCAAAATCAAAACCCTCATCAACTGTATCTAGAACAAAAACAGGTGATGTGGTAGTCCCTCCCATACATCCAACTAGAAGCGGGTAGTGACAATCATCTCTAATAGCCCCAAGACTGGTGTGACATCAGCATCTGTGTGAGAGGAATCACAAAGAAACAAGGAGGCATCTGTCACTACTGGAAACAAAAGAGCCCCATCCAGGCCAAGAGATATTTACTGGGAAGTGCCATGGGCGAAGATGATAAAAGCAACTGAAAGTGGGAGGGGTTTTGCCCAATCCAATATCAGGTGACAGCAGAGGTCCACAGTCAAGTCTGAAGCGCTGGAGCCACCATGACACTGTGAACTCCCAGAATGGACCCGCCAAATCTCCCTCCCAGAATAGGACCCGGGCAGGCGCTGTGTGGATGGAGTCAAAGCTACTCATAAGAAGGACCATGGAGAAAAAGAACAGGGAGAGTCCATGCAAACGTGGGAAGGGCCTCAAGCCCTTATGTTGTTGAGCACAACGTGAAAACAACTAAAAACAGAGCACTGTGAAGTTAAAACAGAAGCTATCCTGAGCTACACCTCCTTCTAAAAGTTCAGGAAAGTTCACTTGACACAAAAATTAACAGACGATATAGGTGGCAATCCCATACTAAGCTATTGTTAGAAAAAAAAGAGAATAAACATGTAGATTAATATCCTTGTTTATAGTCAATGAAAACACTCCAAAAAGACATGCCTACCACCTGTATATCACAACAGTAACCTACTATTTCAAAAGGAACCAAAGCACTGAATGTGATTCAAGACATGAAATAACAACCTAAATCAGAATTAGAAACACTTAGAACTTTGGTAAGAGAGCTCAGGAAGGAAATAAAAATAAGAGAAAGATACATTTCCATAAGGAAGACTTAACAAGAAGGGACTTAGAACATATAAACACAGGATTACGAGAAACAGAAGGTGGAAAGGAAGAATATTTTTTATTTTTAAATTTTATTTTATTTTATTTATTTATTTATTTATTTATTTATTTATTTATTTTAAAGTTGCAGAAAAGGAGTTTATTAGAAGAAAAAATACATTTCAAAAGAAACAGAAGTGGGCCCAAACAGTAAAGAATGGCTTAAAGGCCCATTATTAGAAGAGAAAGTACACTCCAAAGAGTTTGGAGGAGCAGACCAAGCAAAGGAAGTTCAAAAGGCCAAGAATATTTTTTCAATAAAAAAGAAGTCTGAAAAACTGTCACAGAAGGAAAAGCCTAAGGAGACATAAGAACTAAATGGAAGATGGTATCCTGGATTGGAGATATAAATGTGGAAAGTCCTAGAATGTTCAACCCAGTATATGTGAGCATAACGAGGGGCCAGGTTGTGGTCTTGAAGTAACATATCACAGTTTTTATTTAAAAGTTTTTTTTTTAGGTATGTGTGATTCTAGGGCTGGGACAGGAAATGTACACTATAAGCCTGGACGTCTTGTCCTACAAGGAAGCCATCAAGCTTATTAGTCATGTCCAAAAGGTTGAGAGGCCACACTGAGGAAGTTCCCACCATCCAAAGATGGACTCATTTGAGCACCAGTATGAATACTTGTTACAATGTTCAATCAAAACCCAGCAAATATTTTTAACTTTATGAGTTCATCATGACAATTTTAAGGATTGGTAACTTTTGGTGGATGATAGGGAACTACTTGGTTATCTTGGAAACTAGTAAAAACGGGAAAGAAACAAATGTTTTTTTTCTGTCTTTCCTGCATGAACTGTATCTGCAAGATCACCAGATCGTAGTAGGTGAGTGGAAACATCCTCAAATGATTCAACCTAATACATTTGAAAGCTATTATAGAATTCAAATGTCACTGTTTTCCAACTCTCAATGAATTAATGGATTTAGGAAGTGAGCATCAAAAGACTCTATCACCACAAAAAGGAGAGACAACCATATCTCCTGATAGAAGAATACAGCATGTCGTACCAAGGGATCAAACCTAAGTCTGACCAGGCTTTTGAATCTAGTTCCCAATTTGCATCAAATCCTGGGGGACAGAAGATGCTGAATGAATGGATATGCTCAAGTAAAATGCAGACAGTGGGAAATGCTACAGGTCAAAGGGCACGTATCCTTCAATAGATAAATTACAAGGAAAGAGATAAAGAGAAAACATATTTTTTTAAAGACTTAAAAGTCAAATCAAACATAACAAAACCTGGGTGAGACTAAATTATAGTGTCTAAAAATAGGTGATAAAACTATAGAGAAGCGGAACGTGATTAATTGGGGGTCGGAGAGAGGATTGGGCCAGGGGACGTGGGTGGTCTTTGGGGATGCCCTGCAGAATCGTATTTCACGAACTGAGTGGTTGTTACAAATGCAGCCACTTTATGGTAACTAATTAAGCTGCACTTTTGTGTGGTTTTCTGTATTATGCTTTCTTTTACAATTTAAAAAAAGTTTGTAATGAGAGAAAGAGTGAGAAGGAAGGCCTGTGCACTTCTGCCGTATGCGGGCTAGGAGAGCCTTGCACCAATCGAGTGCCTATTATGAGCCACATCTATTCTACAATAGATACTGGGAATATATCACTGAACAAAAAAAAGACCAAAAAAAAAAAAAAGATCCACAGTGAAATAAAATTATTTAAAAAAAAAAAAGAAAAAAGAAAGAAAACCCAAAACAATAACAACAACAAAAAAACTCTGCCCACCTAGACCTTATAATCTAGTAGAAGGAGACAAAAAAATAATTAAAATACCTACATATGTCTAGGAGCATATGCTATAGGTAGCTACTTATATGCTATGTATGTAGATATGCCTGGGGTATGCAGGTAGATATGCTATGTATAGGCTTGTATATACTA